TCTGTCTGTCTCCCATCTTTTTTATCCGCTTCTCTCTTTCTGTCTCTGTCTGTCTGTCTGTCTCTCTATCTATTTCTTTCTTTCTCTCTCTCTCTTCCATCTTTTTATCCGATTTTTTCTGTTTGACTTTTTCTTTTTTTTCCCATTTACCTTTATATCTGTCTGTCTCTGTCTCGTTCTCTTTTCCTCTCCTCATCTCTCCCACTGCCTCCTCCGCTCTTTATCTCTCTCTTTACCTCTTTCCACCATTCCCTTCTATTCATATTCTATTCATACAAGTTTTGGTATAAGAAAGGTGTATTTACAATCAATAGAAAGAAAAAAAAAAGTAACATGGTAGGTTTAGAAATAAGAATGGTATATTTATAGTTAAGAGAGAAATCGTATGATTGATTTAGATATACAACCAGAACTATCTATTATCTATGATTTATCTATGATTCTGTTTATTCCTTAAGGCAGAAGGCCATCCTGAAGTAGTAATATAAGTAAATATAATAAAACCATGTCTCTCTACACGTAAGGAAGTCATAATAATTCTTTTTGCTTCAATAGCATTAACCGGATTCACTGTGATAAATGTAGAAAAGGTATGAATGAGAATGAATATCTTCACAATACAATAGGTATATTTAATCGGTTTCGAATACATTTGTATCGTGATGTGCATTCTCATTCATATTTTCTCGATAGTCAAAGTCAAAATACTTTATTTCATTCATTAAAATGGTTCTTTTTTGCATAAACAGTGACAGCGTATAGTATTGCAGAAATAGTAGAAACAGTATTCAATAGTATTAACTTAGGGCGTTTTTCTTTAACTAAACTCTCTCTCTCTCTCTCTCGCTCTCCTCCTCTCTCTCTCTCTCTCTCTCTCTCTCTCTCTCTCGCTCCTCTCTCTCTCTCTCTCTCTCTCTCTCTCTCTTCTCTCTCTCTCCCTCTCTCCTCTCTCTCTCTCGCCCCCCCCTCTCTCTCTCTCGCCCCCCCCTCTCTCTCTCTCCCTCTCTCTCTCTCTCACCTCTCTCTCACCTCTCCCCAAAAGGTCCAGATTACCCCACCAACCTGCAGCTATACAACCGGGAGATGCTGAGAGTCCTCCTCAGCCCTCTCCCAAGTCGTACTGAGGTCGTCGTCTCCCTACCCGACAGCGACACGATCTTATCCCCGGACGACTATGCCTGTGGCGAGTCGTACATCCTGACGTGTGTACAGCCCGTTGACGTGCCTGCGAGTGTGGGTCATGTCTACATCACAGCTGTTGGGTTGGACGAGGAGGGGTACGTGAACGTGTCCTCAGCCACGCTGTTTGAAGGTGGGTGGATGTTGGTGTTTTTTTTCTCTCTCTCTCGTTTCCTTCTTCTGACTCTGTCTGTGTGTCGCTGTCGCTCTCTCTTTCTCTGTCTGACTGTCTTTCTTTCTCTTTTCCTCTCTCTCTCTCTCTCTCTCTCTCTCTCTCTCTCTCTCTCTCTCTCTCTCTCTCTCTCTCTCTCTCTCTCTCTCTCTCTCTCTCTCTCTCTCTCTCTCTCTCTCTCTCTCTCTCTCTCTCTCTCTCTCTCTCTCTCCTCTCTCGCTCTCTCGCTCTCTCGCTCTCTCGCTCTCTCGCTCTCTCGCTCTCTGTCTCTGTCTGTCTCTCTCTCCCTCTTTCTGTCTGTCTGGCTCTCTGTCTCTCTCTGTGTTTTTTTCTCACTCTCTCTCTCCTCTTTCTCTCTACATGTATATATATATATATATATATATATATATATATATATATATATATATATATATATATATATATATATATACACACACACACACACAACACTTGCGTCCTCTTCCCCCGCCAGTGTTCGAGGCTCGCGCCGTCCGCCTCGCCCCCGACGTCTACGAGGTGGTCCCCGCCCCCTCCAACTCCCCCGGGAACTACAGCGTCTCCCTCAACGCCAACGCCTTCGTGTCCTGCGGCGGCGACGGGGTTCAGGAGGACTCGGACTGCCGCGTGTACTTCGACAGGGTGATCTACGAGCATAACGTCACGCTGGCGAAGAGAGGAAGGCTGTTCAACATGGTTCTTTATCCCGTGGTGAAGGAAGGTCGGTTGGGCTGCGGGGACGGAGGGACTGGCTTGGCTTCTCGTCATTTTTTATCGTTTTGTTTATTGTGTTTTAGTTCGTTTTTTAAATTCTTTATTATCTTTATATTCTTCTTTATCATCTTTATATCTATTGTGTGTTTTATTGGTGTTTTTTTTTAATTTTTATCATTATTTTATTCATTGTGTTTTATTGTTTTTTATTTTTATCATTATCTTTATCTATTGTGTTTTATGGTGTTTTTTATTTTTTATCATTATCTTTATATCTATTGTGTGTTTTATTGGTGTTTTTTATTCTTTATCATTATCTTTATATCTATTGTGTGTTTTATTGTTTTATTTTATCATTATCTTTATATCCTATTGTGTATTTTATTGGTGTTTTTTTATTCTTTATTATTATCTTTATATCTATTGTGTGTGTTTTTTATTCTTATTATTATCTTTTATCTGTTTTATTGTGTTTTTTATTTTTCATCGTTACTGACTTTATATTCATTGTGTGTTTTATTGGAGATTTTTTTCATCATTATCTTTATATTTACTGTCTTATTGATTTTTTTATTCTATTTCTCATCATTATTATCATCATATTTATTGTGTGTTTTATTGATTTTTTTTTTTTTCATCATTATATCTTTTATATTTATTGTGCGTTTTATTGAAGCGGTTTCTTTGATTTTTCATCATTATTATTATCATATTTAGAGGTGTTTTATTTTAGTAATGTTTTAACGTAATTTGAGTGGATGCTTCGAAGTGAGTGTGCTGTTGCCATTGGTTATATTCTGTATGAAATCAGTCTAAAATGTAATAATATTATTGATGATGGCAACAGAATATGGTAAATAACATTTTACACAAACTAGATGGATATATCACAGAATCTATCCATCTCCATTGCCTTCACGATACCATAACCTGGACTACAACTGTCCTCTTTCACAACCCCCCCCCCCCCCCCCCCCCAGATCCTCCTCCAAGTTCAAAGATCCACAGCATCACCTCCTTGAGCGAAAGTCCCTCGAAGATGAGAGTGCAGGTCAAGAGTCGCAACACCATCACGAAGGCCGAGTTCGTCTTGTTCGAGGACAACGTCGCCACGAGCAGCCTGGAGGTCGAGGTGGACCTTGCGGACTCGGGCTACGTTGCGGACGTCCCCGCGTGCGAAGGGAGGTGCGAGTTCGTCCTCTTGGGGTACGGGGTCGACGGGGACCTGGTCGAGACGGGGCAAGCCTACTTTAGCCTTGAAGGTGTGTGGGTCTTCCTCTTCTCTCTCTCTCTCTCTTACTTCTCCTTGTTCCAAAACCATGTTTCCTCCTTTATCTATTACTTGGAAATCTGTCCAGAGGAGAGGCGGTAATTCCTCGGTCAATTCTCCGCAGATCTGGACAAGGACGTCGTCGAGGTGGGCAGGGAAACCGCGCTGAACAGTTCCTCCCTTCGCGTGGAAGCCACCTGGGGCAACGATGTCACAGTCGAAGGTGTGGGGAAATGCAACGGGTACAGAAGCCCTTGCTACTTCTTCGGAGTTGCAAGGGAGACGGTGGAGTCTGCAACGTACTGCATCAATATCACCTCTTTGCCCATTTATGGCTTGAACAGAACGTGGCTCTTTCACTGCAGCGACGAGGTCATACCTTACAGTGGTAGGTGCCGCTCCCTTTTCCTTGCCTTATTAGCTACACACTGCAAGCAAGCATTTAAACCACACTGTTCATACTCGTTCTCTCTCTGGAGATACAAGCAGATGCACCCATCAGTTCACACAGGATATACTTCCACAAAGAGTAACCCCCCAAAGAAGCAGGCGCGGCTGATCGCCCTTCTCCCTCACAGAACTCCGTGGCGACTTCTCCCTCACCCTAACGAGTTTCTCCGAGATGGTGGTGAGTGGCAGCTTCCCGACCAACCTCACAGAGATCGTGGTGTTCGACCCGGTTTTCCACAAGGAACTCTCCATAGGAAGCACCAAATGCTCTGGAACAAGTGGGACGACACAAGAATGCAAGCGTTTTATCAGCGGCCAGAATGGGTGGAGTCCCCTGGGGGTGTTGGTGACCGCGCTAGAGAGCAATGGGACTGTCCTGAGTTCAGTGGTGATGACCTATACGTGTAAGTGTTGAGGAAACGTTTGCTGACAGGTAGAAACGTTGATATTACCTACACTTAGTCTTGAGAAAACGTTTGCTGACAGGTAGAAACAGACGAGAAAACGTTTGCTGAAAGGTAGAAACGTTGTAATTACTTACACTTAGTCTTGAGAAAACGTTTGCTGACAGGTAGAAACGTTGTAATTACCTACACTTAGTCTTGAGAAAACGTTTGCTGACAGGTAGAAACAGACGAGAAAACGTTTGCTGAAAGGTAGAAACGTTGTAATTACCTACACTTAGTCTTGAGAAAACGTTTGCTGACAGGTAGAAACAGACGAGAAAACGTTTGCTGAAAGGTAGAAACGTTGAAATTACCTACACAGTCTTGAGAAAACGTTTGCTAACAGATGGACACGTTGAAATTACTTACACAGTCTTGAGAAAATGTTTTTTTTATGTAGATGGACCCACCGATCAGCTGAGAAAACGTTTAGAGATGGGTAGGTCACTCTAGACTATACGCACGCGTGCAGGCCTTGAGAAACGTTTGTAAATAGTGTATCAGTCTAGTTCGACGACACTTTTAAGTCTTGAGGAAACGTTTGTCGACACGCGAAGCAATTTTAA